CACTCTCACCACTGGTCCTGAAGGGATCATCCATCCTGGATTCCCTGTGTTTCCAGTTCCTATCTGTACCAGTGTACATCCTCTGGTCTAGCCAGATTTGCAAGATAGAATTGGGATCATGATAGTGGGGGTTGGGGTGGGAGAAGCATTTAGGAACTAGAGGAAAGTTGCATGTTTCATAGTTGCTACATCGCACCCTGACTGGCTTGTCTCCTCCCCGAAACCCTTCTGTAAGGGGATGTCCAGTGGCCTACAGATGGGCTTTGGGTCTCCATTGCTCATTCACTATGATGTGATTTTTTGTTCTTTGATGCCTGATAACTGATCCCTTCGGCACCTCATGATCACACAGGCTGGTGTGCTTCTTCCAGTGGGCTTTGTTCCTTTTGAGCTAGATGGCTGCTTGCTTACTGCCTTCAGTACTTTCTAATGTGCATTTTATACCATTGGTGGCATACGATCCACTTGTTTTTCCCACTTAATATTCCTGCCACAGCTTTCCATATTGCTACAAATGCTTCATTATGACCTTATTTATTAAATCGTTTTAATAAACGATTTTAAACGCTCTGATAAACGCTCTGAAAACGATTTTTAACAGCTCTGATAACTATCCAGACACCAGTTGTATCAGTCACGTCTGTGCCTACGTCGCCACCATCATTTTCAAAGTCTTTTCTTTCCACCTGAACTCTTTGGGGCCCTCCACACTTCTCCCACCAGAGGGGAAGAGACCAGCAGGAACGCCCTCGCTGAGCCGTGCAACAAGCGTCGATCCCTGTCACGACCTCCCAGCATTTTCTCCGGGAGCCCTGTTCTGTCCGTTGACTGCGATGTCCCCGAGACAGTGACCCTGATCCCCCAAAGCCCAGGGACTCCTGCCCTCAGGGCACCTTGGCCGTGCAGAAGAAGCTGGTCTGCGTGTGACCGCCCCACCCCTTTCCGCTCCGCCAACTTCATGGAGGTACTGGATGCGCGAATCTCCCGTCGGACCTGTGCAGGGCCCGGAGCATGCTCCCAGCGCCCCTCCCACTCCTGTTTCAACCCATGGCTCCCTGCCGTCTTTGGACGTGGGTGTGTCCACAGCACACGTGTGTCTCTTGCAGGGACTCAGTCACAATATTTTTGCCTATACGCAAAGCGAGGCGATAGCCAAGGCGAACATCTACTACTCCAAAACCTTGGGCAAAATGTTCCAGAAGTACACCTTTGAGCACAAGGTACGTTCCTCGTGCCGAGAAAGTGGCCCAGTGAGCTGCTGGTGGGGGGCCTGCCCATTCCCCCTGGAAGAGGCCACGTGGCTGGGAACTCGGGAGAATCCCAGGCCAGGGAA